CATCAACGTCATCTTTCATCTGGTCTCCGGATTGTGAGCGGGCGTTTGTGGATCTCAAAGAGCTATTGACGACTCCTTTGGTTTTGGCATATCCTGACTACACTCGACCTTTTATTTTGCGCATGGATGCTTCTGACATTGGTCTTGGAGGTGTGTTGATGCAAGAGAGCTCGAGTGTGCCTAGTTAGTGCCATTCCATTGCATACATAAGCCGTACATTACAACTAGCGGAGATGAACTACTCCACGACAGAGAAGGAGTGTTTAGTAGCAGTCTGGGGTTTTGAGAAACTTCATACATATCTACATGGTTCTCGGATGTTATTTGAAGGTGACCATGCTGCTGTTACTTCATTATTGAAACGGAAGAACCTGGTTGGTCGTACGGCTCGATGGGCTTTGAAGCTTCAGATATATGATTTCGATGTTGTTCATCGCCCAGGGAGTTCTATGGCTAATGCTGATGCCCTTTCTCGAGCTCCTCTTCCTTCTCCACTCACTTCTCATGTTTCTGACGAACCTGTTGTTCCAGCATCTGTGGATTTTCTAGATGAGGATTCTGTGCTGTCGGTGGTTGCTGTCCTTGATGTTCAGTGTCCACAAGACGCAGAGCAAGATCTACCTTCTCTTAATGAGGTTCGCGAGGCTAAAAATATTGAGCCGTGGATTTGAAGGCTTCGAGATGGGTTTGAGAATCCTGCCTCACTTGCTGATGACTTGCCTTTCCGGCATTTACATTCTCAATATTGCTTTGAAGATGGCCTTCTTTATTTTGTGGGGACGGATCTTGATGATCATTTACGGCTGGTGGTGCCTTCGGTGTTTATTCCGCGGTTTCTCCATGCCTACCATGATTCTCCTGTTCTAGGTGGGCATATAGGACACCGTCGTGTCACCGAGAAGCTACACAGGTCTTTCTATTGGCCGGAGATGCGACGTGATATTATCCGGTATGTGCATAACTGTGTTTGGTGCCAAGCTCGTAATACTCCCCTTCGTGCTGCGGAAGGACGGTTGGAGTCAATTGTGGTTTCCCATCCGTTTGAGTTAGTGGCGTTTGATCTTATGGGACCTTTTCCACGGTCGACTGCTAGCAATGAGTATGTTATTATTGCTTCTGACTACTTGATTCGTTGGGTGGAAGTTGGTGCTTTTGCTAGCGCTTCTGCAACTGCTGTTGGCTACTTCCTCCTCAATCGAGTGGTGTTCCAGCATTCTTGTCCAGAGCGGATTCTTTCGGATAATGGTCCCGCATTTATGGCTGAGGCATTTCATGTTTTGACGTCTCGGTTGGGGATACGCCACACTTTCACGAGTGCTTATCATCCACAATCAGACGGTTTGGTGGAACGGCTCGTCCGGACATTCAAAGGGATGATTGCGAAGTATGTGAACTTTCAGCATTCGGATTGGGATGGTTACTTGCCGTCTCTTTGGTATGCATATGTTACAGGGGTGCAGAGTTCTGTTGGTGCTTCACCATAAAAACTCCTATATGGTCATGATTCAATATTACCAATGGAGTTGGGTTTACCTTCGCGATTGCCATGAGCTACCGATGCTAGATCATGGGATCAGTATTTGACGAGCATTCTTCCACTTGTCCGAGCAGAGTCTGCTGAACACTTAGGCCGCGTACAAGTGGGACAACAACGGTGCTACAACTCCCATCATCGTCCACCTACGGAGTACAAAGTGGATGATTTGGTGTTAGTTCATTTTCCCCATCTTACGGTATGTGGTTTATCTAAGGGGCTTCTTGCGCAATAGAAAGGACCGTATCGGGTGTTGCGGCAAGTTGGACCACAAGTTTATGAGGTTCGGTATGACGTTCAACAGGCCGATCCTCCAGAGATTGTGCATGTGCAGCGGTTGAAACGCTTCGTACAAAGGGATCAGGAGGAGTTTATACCACCTACAGATCCACCAATGCCTCCTCCTGACGTTCCTCCGGATCCCGGCCCATCTTCAAGAGAACCTTGATGGCCTTCCATTATCCCGAGAGGAGGGGATGATGTGAGGGCCAAGTGTACGGTTACGATGCCGTATACTAATATTAGCGTAGTGGGATTTTGGTAGCCGTCAAATTAGTTTCAATCTGGACCACTTGCTCCTGTATATAAGCTAGGGTTTTTGGGCTAATTAATATGCACATTTCTGTATTCCCTTTCCATATTCCATGCACTCACAAATCTAAATATTTTTCTATCAAATTTTATAAAAACAATTTGAAATAATAATTAGATTTTAACAATTCGACTCTATATGGTAGTAGATTTACTTTGTTTTAATATAGCACTAATAAAAGCTGACATTTCCTTGACTATATAGTGGTTAGTTCTTTTTTGATTCATCATCCCTCTTAGGGTATGCTATGCCTCTCCAAACAGTAGTTGATTGATTGTAATGCCAAAAGTTTGCACCTCTAATTGCATTTTTTGCTTAGATGAATCTAATAAAATCTAAACCTTAAAATCTTAAATGTTAATTAAATAAAAGATATTTTATTTTTTAAATTACGTTTATTTAAACTGTAAAGGACCAATAAGTAAATAATTTTAAATTTTATTTTATCTAAATTTAAAATATTTTGTTTAAAATATAGGTGTGTATGTATGTATGTATGTGTATATATATATATATATATATATATATATATATAT